TTAGCAATTCCATAAGATGAGAGCGACTGGAGGCGAATAACTTGAGATCATCCATATAGAAAAGCTGGGTCACTTTTGTACCTCCCTTCCGAAGCTGAAATCCCCTCCCGGAGCCCTCCAGTAAGGTACTGAGAGGGTTCAGAGAGAAGCAGAACCAGATTGGACTCAAACAATCGCCCTGGAAGATACCCCTTCTTATCTTTATGTGGTTCTCCGCAGCCGTCATCCGCTCGCCTAGATGACAAAGGATCGTACTCCACTGCCCCATACACTGCCCGAGGAAGTCTCTAACCTTACAGTCAATCTTGTACAGCTCGAGGACCCACTTAAGCCATGCATGAGGCACCGAGTCGAATGCCTTTTTGTAGTCTATCCAGACGGCGGAGAGGTTCCGACGGTTGCGTTTAACCACCTTGCCAATGACCTCGTCAATGAGGAGTGGTTCCTTGGTTCCACGACCACCGCCCCTACATCTATTCTGAGCGCGCGACATCACCTGATTTGAGTTCAGGTGACGACTGATTCTCGAGCTCAAAATGGATGTTAGTGTCTTGTATATCATGGGTAGACACGTGATGGGGCGGTATTTGCTCGGGTCTGTGGTATCCTGATCTTTAGGAACCAAATGAGTGATCCCAGTAGTGAAGAGGCTCGGGAGCGACTTCTGGTTGAGAGCCTCTTGAAACTGTCGGGCGAGCACAGCGTGACACACCACGAACCCCTTCAGCCAGTAGTGATGCAGCCCGTCGAGCCCCGGACATTTCCAGTTCGGGGCCCTACGGACCGCCTCAACTACGTCATCCGGCGTTATGATGACGGGGTCCATGGGCGTAATATTCGCACACTGACTGGCCACAACTTCCGTCCAAGGGCCCTCGCTGTGGTTTACGGGCTCTAACCACAGGCCGCGCCAGAATGCGATAGTGTCGGTCTGATTCGGTGCTGGGCCCGTTCCACGTACCATTGGCCGCTCCAATGATTCATAGAGCCTCTTCTGATCACTCTGAAAGAGACGATTCTGGTTGAACCGTGTCGACCTCTCGGTATATCGCCGAATCCGCTTCCCCCAAGCAGCGATTCTCTGCTTCAGGTCGTCTATGCGCTCCGTCAGTTTTTGCGTTATATCCGGCTGGGACAAACTGATATTTGTCCCAGCAAACGCCATTCTGACGGTGCGCACAATTCTCGGCCTATTATTGCCCGACCTGAAGCTTATCAGCCTGCCGATGAGGGCCCTTGCCTTTACGATACGGTCCTCAATCCTTCTTCTCCAGGCTGGGATGGCGCTACTTTGTCTAGTAGCGCGTCCAGCCGTGGGAAGTTTGGCGCCAACAATACGGCAAACTGCCAGAGCGGCGCCAAAAAGAATTGAGTCCGTCTCGCAAAGGTCCCGGCTGGCTTCCAAATAGGTCACCAGCATTGGGTTGAGAGCCCTCACGACAGCCCGATTTCGCTTGCTTAGGGGTATGCGCGGGAGTCGCGGTCGATTTTCGAGAGGCGTACTGCGCGTTCCCACAATCGCCTCTTCCAATTTAGTCCTCATCTGCTCTAGTTCTTGGGTGACCATTCCATCATCGCCTGAATCAACCAGAGCGGGGAGATCCATGGCGCCCTCTATATGTGGCTGCTGGTCTGTGGCCTGAAGAGCCGCATCCCCAGCTATAGCCGGTTCATTCGATGAGGGAATAGCCTCACGTCGTAGTCGTTCGAGTTCGGCATCATCAAATATTTTCGAACGTATGATGTACCGAACTCGGTGTGCCAGGTTTTGCTCCGTGACGGGAACTGACGGCTCAAGCTCAACAAAAAAGCGATGCATCCGAGCCCGATACGCTATCCCTCCAGTTTCTTCCCCTTTAGCCCTATAGTACGCCCGCAATGCGTTTATGTTCATAATTTTTGTCCAACGCATGCGGCGTACTCCACCAGCGGCGGGTGCCGCTTGCCGAGTCCGAGAGGACCCCGCCGACACCAAGCCGTCTGGTGGGGATGATGGACGCGAGGGGCTGCTAGGTGGTCGTGCAGCACCTCGCGCTCGGCTGGCGGCTCGCATGCTGTCACGTCCAGCGCCAGCTCCAGACGCGCCCCGGCGACCCCCAGGCAGCGGCCCTATGCGCGCTCTATTTTTTTCCATCATCCATTAAATTGGGCGTCAATTAACGGGAGACGCCCAGACCCGGCGCCGTTTAATAGTGTGGTCGTAAGCACAAACGGGCCTTTGCACCCTCAATACTACCGAGGCACGGCGCTCACACCTCTTGGCAAGGCACTGACTGACTGCGCTGACATAGCAGTTTTGTCACTTAACTGTTACGTCAGCGGGCGATGGGGTCGTCACTTCCCTACGCCTTATTATTATAATTATAATTATTAATGTCATTTACAAATTTACCAATGTCAGATTTTTCGTTACATGTAATTAGCATAGCAATATCATCTGCAAATAAAGTCAATAAATTATTCGTTACATAAGAGATATCATTAATATAAAATAAAAACAAAAGTGGACCAAGTACACTGCCCTGTGGCACGCCATATTCATTAATTAGGTACGGTGATTTATATTGCTCAAGTTCTTTATTATAATTTAACCTTGAAATTTGTACACTGTTTCCGATCTTTAAGATATGATTCTATCCAATTAAATGCCGGTCCGCGAATGCCTAAGTTGTCGAGTTTGTTTACGAGGGCTGCACTAAAAGTATCGGGAATGGAATATTTCCACTGTTCCTGTTATATTAAATTTTTTCAATTGAAAAGTCCTTGGTTTTAAAAATCGAATAGCATTTATTTATTTAAAAAAGATTCTCGGTCTTGTCACAAGGTTTTGTCAAACTTGTTTAGTTGTTGAGAAAATGGAATTGACTCGAGAAAATTCAAGAGCGATGATTTATTATGACTTTCGAAGTGGTTTAACACAAAAACAGTGTGTTGACCGGATGATTTCTGTATTTGGTGATGAAGCCCCATCCAAAACCACAATTTATCGCTGGTTTGCTGAATTTCAACGTGGACGTGTCAAGCTCAGTGATGATCCCCGTCAAGGTCTTCCAAAAACTGCAGTCACCCAAGAAAACGTTGATGCTGTGCGTAAGCTGATTGAGGAAGATCGACATGTGACATACCGCGAAATTCAGGCAACTTTAGACATTGCCATGAGTTTAATACAAATAATCTTGCATGAACAATTAGGTGTAAAAAAGTTGTTTTCCCGATGGATACCGCATTCGCTCTGTGAAGAGCAAAAAGCGGCTCGCGTTACTTGGTGCGTCAGAACCAGAAGAAAAAAAGAAAAAAAGATTCCACGCAGGATCCTCAAATGCTGTATACAACATCGTATTAGGTGACGAATCCTGGATATACACTTACGAATCCGAAACAAAAAACCAGTCACGAGTTTGGGTGTTCGAAAATGAGTTAAGCCAACAAAAATTGTTCGTTCACGGAGTGTTGCAAAAAAATTGGTGGCCACGTTTGTCTCCAAAACCGGCCATGTTACGACTATTCCTCTTGAGGGACAAAGAACAGTTAATGCAGAATGGTATACTAGCATTTGTTTGCCACAGGTCGTTTCTGAACTCCGTAAAGAGAACTGCAACCGCCGCATCATCCTCCATCACGACAATGCGAGTTCTCACACCGCACACAGAACAAAAGAGTTTTTAGAGCAAGAAAACAGAATTATTAGACCATCCGCCGTACAGCCCCGACCTAAGCCCTATTTCTATACTTTCCCTAAAATAAAGAATAAATTGCGTGGACAGAGATTTTCATCACCTGAAGAAGCTGTGGACGCCTACAAAACGGCCATATTGGAGACCCTAACTTCCGAATGGAATGGTTGCTTCAATGATTGGTTCCGTCGTATGGAAAAATGTGTCAAATTTCGCGGAGAATGCTTCGAAAAGCAATAAATACATTTTTAAATAGTAATGTTGTGTCACTTCCTTGATTCCCGATATTTTCAGTGCCGCCCTCGTAGTAGAAGTTTGTGTGAAATGAAATCAAAGGCGTTACTTATATCAATAAATATTACTGAAGTGTGATTTTTGTCATCTAAATTATTAACAAAATTTTTGATGAAAACAAGATGAAAACATGCATGTGTAGTTGATTTATTACTTTGGAATCCAAATTGTTCATTTATTATTATATTAAATTTTGAGGTAAATTCTATTATACGCATGTACATTGCTTTTTCAAATATTTTGGAAAAAATAGGCACTAAAGTTATGGGGCGATAATTACACATATGACGTTTATCATCTTTTTTATGAAGCGGTTTTACTATAGATTTCTTTAAACTCTCTGGAAATTTGCCATTAGTTAAAGATTGATTTACATGTGGAGTTGAATCTCACTATAAAAAAATCGGGATGTAGCTGTGTCATGGACACGGCCGTGTGTTTTGCGTGAATACGTGTACGTAACGAAACAACCTCAAAATAGTAGCTTAAACCCCCTCCCCCTCCCCCTCCCTTTCTTTGCTGCTTGTTGATCCTTTAGCTATTGAGTGGTGTAGTTAACTGTAACACCACACCAAACTGTATCCCCGATTTCGTTATTATCAATTTTTTGAATTGCCTTCCAATACAAGCAAATTAAAGTATTCACATCTAAATTGCATTGCAAAAGAAGCACCACAATGCTAGTACGAGCATGTAATAAAGAGTGTTTTTTTTTTATAGAATAAGGTTGACAAAATAGCACTCAATGTCCACCTGATGGTAAGTGGTTGCTGTGGTCCATGGACTTCTCGATTACAAATTAAAATGCAGATACATTGCCACCTCTGAGGACTAAGATGGAATGCCTTGTTTCCAGTAAAAACTTCCGGTTCTCTACACTGACCATACAAAACACAGCAGCATTGAGCTGCTATTTTACGCTGGTATTCTGTGAGAGCGTGGTTTTGCCTTAGTGGAGTCGACCCATTTGTGCTACGACCATAATGTAGCTTGAGCGTGGCTCTATCACATATAACAATGGCTTGCTTGTAGGAGATGGTGCTGGGCGCGGTGGGGCAGGCGCGGCTGCTGGTGTCGAAGAAGCTGGCGCAGTTCGGGTCGCTGGTGGCGGCCTGCGAGTGCCCCGACCCCACCGCTGGGCTCATCACGCCCAGCGACCTCCACGGATTTTGGGACATGGTCTTTATGCAGGTGACCACTCATTTAATGCCCTTTTTTCCTTTTTAGCTTTTCGTATATTACAAATCTGTATTTTGCTATGAATTCAGAAAGTAAGTACCTATTAAATTTTTTTTTATCTGAAAGTCCAGTTGTTGACTTTGACAATTTCAGTTTATTATCAAAGATTTTAATTACACAAGAGATACGGTGATTCATTAGTAATGTTTTTGTACCAATTTATTATTATAAATAAGTGTTCACGCCCAAACGCTGTTTTCAATATTTGACGTCGGAGGGCGCTCGGCTTGGTGCCATACCGGTTTTGACGTTCGGGCGAGTGGGTGGCTTTGGCAGAGGGCGCGAGTGCAGAACTTGAGCAGAACATTAGTTGCTTGAATGCAGTGCAGTCGATCGCACGTCGTGAAGTCGCTCGGGATAACCTTTATTTTTTAGAGTCGGTTTTGTTAGCAAATTGTGCAACGACGAGGAATTGTAGTCTAGAATTAGACACCAGGTTGACAAATTGTTAGAAAGTTAACATTGATTGCGAGCAACGTCTGAATTTGTGTGTGGTGCGTGCCTAATTTACCGCGAATTTGGTTATTCTAATTTGATAGCGTATATAAGTGCATTTGACAATATTAATTTGCTCGTGTGGCATTTGATATAGTTCGGAGACATTTTCCTTTGTCGGTTGAACGCTGAACTTTGTGACACTAGAGAAGGTCGTGTTAGGTTCTAGAAACAATTTGTTGCGGAGTGAGGGAAGGTGAACTTTGACCTACGAGTCGTACTTCATGTTACGCTTTATAATAAACGGGAGTTAGTTGCGTCTTAATAGACTGACATAGTGAAGAAGAAAGAAATTGACCGTGGGTGACGCCGCTGGAGATTACCATAATTTGGAGCGGTGCCGGAGTCCGGGCAGCTGCCGACTTCAACGGTCCAGTCAGGTCAATCACATCCACACCACAAAAACAACACCACACATGCACATACACACCTCCGTCCTGACCGAACCTTGAGACAGTCGTCGCCTCAGATACAGGTAAGTACTCTTTATTTGACTAGCCTCCCCATTAAAGTGTAGTAGGATAGAACATTTTCCATATAGCCATTCGGGCTCGAACCCGCGGCTGCCCGTTGAATCATCCGCTCATGGGCCCCGGGATATTGAACCTTTGCATGGGCAGCTGCGGGCCGTAACAATAAGATTCCTACTATCAGTGGAAACTCCATGTAACGTCACTCTATTTAACGACAAACTCCCTAAAGCGTCGATTTTACTTGGCTTTGGTTGGTTTTGCTTTCCTTCCATACAATGATACACTTTATATAGCATTACGCCCACTCTCAGTAACGACAACAATTAAATAATAAAAAGTACTTTTCAAGTTGCAATAATTATTTTTTTCGCTTTATTATCCTAACCCGTAATAAACTCAAGTGTCGGCATCATACATACCAAACTCTAAGAAATCCGCTGTTTTGTTTACAAATTGGGATTGCTTGCATGTGTTTGCTGAAGAACTTGGTTTAACTTCTTTCAAATCATCAGAAGGATGGCTCGGAAAATTCAAACAACGTCATCATATCAACTATGGTAAAATTAGTGGAGAAGCACGAAGTGTTGATAAAAATGTTACTCACGACTGGATTAATAGAGTGTGGTCAAAATTGACAGATTGATTTCATTTAACGACAACTCTTTATAACGTCAAAATATGCACAGTACCCGAGTCGTTATATAGAGTTTACACTGTATTAGTATCGTCAAGTTTACATCTTATCTGAACGTCTGCTGCAGTATGATTCATAGCCAGTAATTATACTGGTTGACTGCCTTATTATATATTATTGGGATTTTAAAAAGAAAAATCTCGAAAAGAAATTCTCATTAGCAGCTCAGAGTCGGATATTTGGCGGGTTTTCATCTCAGTGCCTCAGAAAGCACGTAAAGTCGTTCTGCACCTGACCTCCTCTCTCCGCTCGTGTGGGTTTGCAATATCATCGGACTATGACAGTGGAGTATAGAGAGTGCACTTGTGCTTGCGCACATACTTGTTTTTTTTTTATAGAATAAGGGTGACAAACGAGCACACAGTCCACCTGATGGTAAGTGGTTGCTGTGGCCCATAGACATCTACATCCATGACGCTCCGACCTGTGCGCTCCGCGGAACGCGCTCCAAATGTTGCAAGTTTATCAACAAGCACCTGGCGCGCGTGGCAGACGCTCCCGTGTTTGACCGTTCGACATGGATGTCGGTCATGTACGAGTAGCTGCCGCTTTCATAGATCCATGCATCTTCTCTGAGCGCTTTATTATGATAAAAACTACTTTTGCTATTCCACAGCAGATCTTTTAAACTATATAATTGTATTAATTTACGGCAACTTTGGTTATCCATAGCTCGGAACGCAACGAACACACAGATAATGAAAACAAACGTCCCAACTGGCGCGCGCGCCAAACCTTAAACTACTTTGATGCGCGGTTAACAACCGACACCAGATGGAGCGGCCCGCTCCACGTTCGAGCACTTCAACAAACAATTTGGCGCGCGCTCGAAGGCGGTATCCATTTCAGAGCGCGTAATCGATACGCGGCTTTATAGTAATATAACTAAAACATTATATCTACATAGTATAAAACAAAGTTGCTTCCAGCCGTCTGTACGCTTGGATCTTTTGAACTACGCAACGGATGCGGTTTTCGTCAATAGACAGTATGATTCAAGAGGAAGGTTTATATGTATAATACGTGCATATTATATATTTCTTCAGTCCGTGTGTATGTGACTGAACACCCCCAAACAGATCGATTTTGATGAAATGTTGTGTGTGTGATTAAGTTGATTCAATAATGGTTTAGATTCACAATCGGATTGATGGCACTGTTGTCGAGATCCAGTAACCACCCGTGCGAAGCCGGGGTCAGATCCCTAGTAATATAACTAAAATATTATTTATCTATAAGTCCACATGTTTAAATACAGACACTCACTCCTCACCATATAAAAAAAATTAACATACATAACTCCTACAATCACTACAACTAAAGCAAAATAAGACATGAAAACTAACAACTTTTGTTTTTGCAGAAAATTTTGACTTGAAAATAAAAAAATCATATTTCTCATGTTAAAGGTTGAAAATGTGGACATGCGCTTCAAAAAACTCGAAGAACTTCGCGCTAATAACTGGGTTGAGGAAACCCCAGTGAAACAAAAGAAAAGAGCCCCCAAAGCAGCTAAAAATAACAGCAAGCCTGCCGCAACCAGCCGCCTTCGTGATCTTATAGCTGGTGAGCAATTGACTTTGTTTAATTTTAATTGTATTACGTAGTAGAGCCATGCTGTAGCTATATTATTGGTATAGTTGTAGCACGAATGATTCGGCTTGACCGGGGAAGGACCAAGGTCTTGTAGAATACTGGCATAAAATAGCAGCTTAATACTATTGTGTTTTGTACAATGAGTATAGAGAACCTGAGACCCTTATTACTGGAAATGAGGTATTCCATCTTAGTCCTCAAGGGTGACAACTCGTGACTCTTAATTGGAGATATAAGTGGTGTGTATGGACCACTTACCATCAGATGGACTGTGTGCTTGTTTATAACCTTTATTCTATATAAAAAAAATTAAATACCAAATATGGTCAAATTATGAAATAATAATGTCAAATTAACTAAATGTGTTTTTATATCTAGCTGCAAGAAAAGCAAAGAAAGATAAAGATCCAGTAGTACCAGCAGAAGATAATCAAACAAACTCTGGGACAAATGTTAAAACATTCGAGGCAGGTTTCTTCTGCGTGCAGTCACCGGTCAAGTCACCCCTCGCTCCCAGTACACCTTCCAACAAACCCAGTTTGTTAAAGGCTGTGCTTTCTAGTGAGGCGAAAAAGGCTTCAGTTACTAAGGTAAACGTCTGTTGCTGTCAGTCATTGAAATTTACCATCGGGACAACTGTTTTGTGTCACGTTCAGTTTCAGTTCAAATATTTTTAAAATTACATACATTGTGGAATTGTTGTGGCAAACGGTGTATGGTAGAATAGCCTTCTCACAAATTGCCTAAAATAAATAATATGATTATCCAAAAATGGAGTAGCAGTTGAAATGCTAGATGTCTGGAACTGTGATAGTCTTTTCGGCAAGTGGTGATTGGTGGTGGAAAATGATTCCAATTTAGGCGAAGTAGTTATGTCTTCTCCAAATGCCAACCTTACCTGCATGCGGTGCAACCTGCTAAGAGCTGGGCCTCTGGCCACCTATATATGACTGTATATCCCTTAAAAAAGACTGAACTAGAATCCCACAGAATTGTAATTAGAAGCATGTCTATTCTCGTCAACTTCCCTGACTTTGGTTAGTTAGAATACTAGTAATGCTATTATCATAATATTACTACGACTGCCTCTTTGGTCTACGGGTCATGTACGCGACTCATGATCTTGAGGTCTCGGGTTAGAATCCCGGGTCGGGTCAAAATCAGTTATTGGATTTTTTTGACAAGAAATTCTTAGTAGCATTCCGAAGTCAGGAAGTTGTACGGTTTCTTACCCTGTGCCTCGAAAAACTCGTAAGGCTGTTAGTTCTGCGCCTGATCCCTCTAGTTGTGTTGGGTTACCGTCCCATTGAACAAAGCGAATATGATCCTCTTTCTTTCACATCACACATCTCACTCTCGCTCATTCATAATATCTACTCAATCTGTATTATCATCGTGTTATATCCTAACACTAACATTATATTTTTTATTTAACAGTAGCGTTTACCCGGCGTATGCTACTATGCTAAAAAATACATTTTGTTTATTTGTTGGAAAAAAAGGAAATTTTGTTTATTTATTAACTTTTTTATCTTAATGCCTAATGCATCGTTTTAGTGGTCTAAAACCTTCTTCGAGTTATTGCCTTTCTATTGAAACCGGCTTGGGGCACATCAGTTTCATATTCTATAATGTCGTTGGTATTTTTGTTGATTAATCGAATTTATTATATTTCACAGAACACTACATCATTAGCAATGCTGCGGGCATCGAGCATCGGCAGAGGTGTGGAAAATAATGATACAGCATTGGAGGTATGTAAATTATAATGTCCTCCAGACCGAGTTTCAGGCACGGCGGCCAGTTCAAGTTAGCTATATGCATAGGATAAGATTATAGTGCCTAAGTGCATGCGCAAGCACAGGTGTATTCTATTCCCTCACTCCCATAGTCTGATAGGACGGTAAACCGACACAACTGAAGAGAGATCAGGCGCAGGACCAACGGCTTTACGTGCTTTCCGAGGCACGGGGGTGAGACACCGCCATCTTCTTGAATCCGGACAGCTGCTGAGAATTTATTGTCAGAAAAACCCAATTACTAATTTTGACACGACGCGGGATTTGAACCCGGTACCTCTTGATCAGTCGCGTTTACGAACGCTAGACCAACGAGGCAGTCAATGTAAATTATATAACATGTAACAAAAACCCTGTGCTTCCCGTTTAGTGCGTTATCGGAATCAGTATTCAAACATATAGAAATAACTTTACTTCAGAAAACTCGACCATAAAAAAATCAAATTAAATTTAAATACATTTTTATTGTCAAAGACCCCATTTTACCAATATGCATCATCATCAGATAATTCAGATGTAAATAAAATTTTTACCGAAGGTTGAATTTTGAAGTTACATATTGTGAACAATAAAATCCTTTTAAAAACGATCACAAAATTTTCTGACATAATTGCCACGCCTATATGTACACCTATACATCCCTAAAAGGACCACCGGGTTGTTTGTTAAATACTATATTTAGATAAGCAGGTATTTCTGGCACTGCTCCTTACTGCTAGCTTTTATTAAATCAATAACACAGGTTAATTAGTTTGGTGGAGTCAGGCTGCAACATGTTAGGGCTGCAGAATTAATGGGTCGGCTCGGTCGCTCGGTTAAGAACCAGGTTCTAGGAACCAGTGTAAAATAGCAATATAACTCTGCCGTTTCATAGTGAGCATAGGAGACACTTTTTACTTGTAAAAAGGCATTCTATGTTAGTTCTCATGGATGACAATGTGTATGCATTTTAATTCTTCATTTATTTATTACTAAGTCTCCGCTGTCTGTCCGTCCGTCCGTCAGTCTGTCTGTCAGTGGGGTGTATCTCATGATCCGTAATAAATAGAAATTTTCACAGAATGTGTATTTCTGTTGCCGCTATAACAACAAATAATAGAAATAAAAATAAATTAAAAATTAAAGGGGGCTCCCCTACTAGCAACGTGTTATTTTTGGCTTGCTCGATCTAAGAGGCGACAGAGGGAAACAAACAGCAGAATGGCTGTGGTTGCCAAGGTGCCTGCCAAATGTGGTTGCCAACGTGCCTGCCAAACGTGGTTGCCAACGTGCCTGCCAAACGTGGTTGCTATGGCTAATACATCTATTATGAGGCAATCTATTGTATAGTCTGTTCGCTAAGATACGGTCGTCTTTGTGTCGTGCTGGATCGGCACTTACCGCATCTTGTGAAAGGTGCCGCCTCGACATCAAAGTTTACAGCATGCGGCGTACACCCGCAGGGAAATTTGGCAATTTTAAAGCGAAACGCCGTAGTGAAAGGTTTCTATTATTTATATTAGTATTTTATTACAATAACCATAAGCGTAATAATATAGTATTCTATTTTATTTTTAGAAAAGAAAAACATTTACTTAATAAACACAGTAATAAAATAAAAACAAAATAATAAGTGCGCCTCCGGGCGTACCGAAACTATCTTAGTGAACAGACTATAAATTATATAGGCTGTAATAAATGAATGAATAGTCATTTTTATTATAGTTCTTTAATAGTAAAATTAATTGATTAATATTCCTGCAGCAGTCCAAAGTGCCAGTAACTCCAATAAATCTAAAGGCGACACCAGCAAGAAGCATTCTCAAGTCTACAAATGTAGCATCAACGAACAGGAAATCGGGTAAGAAGTCCATAAAAATTGTACTGTTTAACGATTCAGATGGCGATGCACAAGAAAATAGGTTTTCACAAAACCCAGAGGAAAATGAGAAAATTGCAGAGGGCAATACAGACAGCGGCCTGTCCTCATTGGATATGGAGAAGGAAACGGAACAAAATAAAGAGAATGTGAAGCAAAAGTCAAAGCTGGTAAGGCAGAATGCGTTCGAAGATAGAAGTCCAGTTTTAACAAGAAGCAGACGTAAGAGCATGAATACACCACTGGTTGATATGTCCTGTGAAAATTTAAAAGATAGAAAAAGGTCAACAAGAACGGAAGTGGCAAAGGAAAACGAAGCAGATGAGAAGATCAATCAAACACCAAAGCGTTCAACTAGAAGAAGGAAGAGCTCCGTTGCAAGTAACATAGCTTGACACAAACACTTGTTCATCGAAATGTGAATCTCTTATCACCAAAGTGCCATTTTGTCCTTTTAGAAAGCACTTTAATTAGGACTGAAATCTATTGTAATTAAAGTACTTTGAGATGGGTTGAACAAATTACTGCTTGTTTATATTGTTGTTTGTCTTAAATTGAAGTTTTGTTTCTTCACATGGAAGCGGTAAGTAGTTGGCACTGCATGTCAATTAAATAGAAAAGTTATGAGAATAACAGTAAATGATGACATTTCTAGTAGTCAAATGGACATCTTACTCGTATATTTTTAAATAATAATGTAATTTAGCTTAAAACAGAAAACCGACAAAGTTTTAATGCACTATAGTTATTAAATCCAAATTAAATAAGGTAACGACAGTAACATAGGTCACATAAAATGTGTACAGAATCATAATGAGAGTTATAGTTTAGTTATAGCTTGCGCATAGTCGCGCATGAAAGTTCTACTGAATTTTTTTTATTGGTTTTATCCTATGAATAAATTTTGTCTGAGGATTGAATGATCGGTCCTTAGAATAAGACTGATATTGATATTTGTCTATTTAGATGCATTGACTTGAAAATGTTTGAATTTAGGACAACTAAATTCCACACTAGTGAACAAACAATACATCCTTGGGCATTGTTTAGGTAATGTGTATGCTTGGTACCTATACAGGGTTATTTTGCAATAACCGACCAAATTTGCAAAAAAGGTTCAGAATAAGTAATATAAGCAAATGGTGAAGAAAAAATAATTAAATGAAATCTCAAACATTCTGTTATTTTTATTTCAAAATGCGTGGTAATGCAGTATTTGAACTGATTTTACTGCGCACGCACACATTTGTAAGGGTCGATCGGTAGGCAAAAACGTTGTTGCCCATAAATCACATTTATTTTGGGATAGTTTCAAATAAAAGTAGAAGCCTTGTTTACTCGTATTTTTAAAAACTGCAATAACGGTATATCATTGTTCATTAATATTTTTGAACTTCAGTTTATAAGAAAATAATCCTGTATAAGAGAGTAAATTAGTTGTTAAATAAAAACGCAAGTTGAGAAGCCCTACATTGTACTATTTTAACAAAATACAGTAGAGGTTTTAATGAGAATGTTTTCAAAATTAACGACTAGTTTTGTTAGGTATTTCTGTTATGCTAATTTCGTTTTATAATATCACGTTTTTAAACGGAAACTTACCGCAAGCAGAGTACGGTGCCTGTTTTATCTTTCAAATAAAAGGATTGTTTGATTATTTGCCTTAGTTGGCCCCGCTTAACAGCCGGGTTGGCAGAATCATTTTTTTTATTATTTTGAAGTCTTATTAGATGTTGAAGATGTTACTGGTCATTCCCTGTTTGGTTTCCTCCTGTCGCCCCTTATGATACCCTCCCGACGATATGGGGTAGTGGATATTCTTACAGCACTACATGGTAATCTACATACGCAAGTATTATACTTGTCTAATAAACAAGGTTCTGGGTAATAAATATTTTAAACTACTTATTTTATTTCGTTATTTCACACCCCAATCACAAGCTACTTTTATTACAGTAGGAATTAGCGTAAGTTGGCATATTCGGAGGGGTTTGAATGAATAAACACGTGTGCGGTTATAAATTAATTATAACCTAAAAACCTATGTAGAAAATATTGTATTGTTAAATATAGTTTTAGAGTACTTTTCTAGGGTATACTATTTATTAAAATAAGTTTTGTATCTGTGAGGACAGAAGCTGTTTTTATATTTACGTATCAATTTTAACTGGTGTATGTTTGCTTGCTTGTTTGTTTTGCCGGTGATGTGGGCCTACGTTAGACCATTAATTTGTTTTGTCGAATTCTACCAGATTGTATTGTTTAATATTTTATTTTATTCCATGTATCACATAATTATGTAATGTAAATTGCATTCGAGACAATAGTTGTAACGAATAATAAAAGAGAGAAAAAAAATAGTTGTTTTATTTCTTAGTTGCATTTTCATGTCCTGTTTTGTAAAAGTCGATGAAGGATTTGCGCAAATAGCTAAATTACGGCGAAATTAATCATAAAAATCAGAGAACCTTCCATTTTTGTAGTCAGTCAACGATCATACGTTGTACAATTATACGCGGTAGAGCCATGTTGCAGCTATATTATAGTTGTAACAAGAATGGGTCGGCTCGACCGGGAAAGGACCAAGCTCTCACAGAATAGCAACATAAAATACCAGCTTAATTAAAATAAGTAGGCTACAGATGACTGAGATGGAATGTCCTCACAGCCATAACAGCTAGTATTTTATAATTATGTATCTGTTTCTGTTATTACTTAAAGTTAAAAGTTTAAATTTTTATAAAGTAACTTCTAGATTTCATGTCATGAAATAATACTATCCGTATCAATTTTTCTAAGCAAATCATATTCTATATTCATCAGAGAGATAATTATGGCGTTCTTGACTCATAGCGTTCCTTAATAATTATAAAAAAAATAGTTATTGATTATGAGAGACAATAAATGCGCAAAGCAGTTTCTAAATTGGGGGAAACATGATTCTAATGAATTATCCATTAAGAATTTATAATGCATATTGAATTTCCAGACATTCGATTTTGGTACTGTAAATCGCACCAGCCACATACGTTTTGAACATTACGATAAAAACTGATTTCTGATGATGTTTGTGCATTTAGCTTTTTGGCTTTTACAGCCTCATCGGTGTCAGGGCTAAACAAAGGGTTGAATTTATATTACACTGCATCGTTCCGCAAGTAACGATGACTCCTAGCACAGTTTACAGTACACGTGGATGAGTTATCTAACTGCACTAATTCGCCGTCTATTCTGTCTTCCAAACCATTTGCGTAATCGCTGACCATAATTAGAGTTTCTTTCAAAATCTATTCTGCTGTAATATATTTGAATTGTCCAAATATTCCAAAAACACTAATTACATTTTGGCATGCTTCCATCCGTTTATCTAAAGCATTAATAATGACCACAAAAAACTCAATTTCAAACTGTTTACCAGGTGTTTTGTGCGTGGTAGAGCGATGCTGAAGCTATATTAGTAGTACAGTTGTAGTACGAATGGGTCGGCTCGACCGGGGCAGGACCACGCTATCACAGAATACCAGCGTAAAATAGCAGCTTAACGCTGCTGTGTTTCGTATGGTGAGTGTAGAGAACCGGAGACCCTTTTTAGTCCTCACGGGTGACAACGCATCTGCATTTTGATTTATAATAGAGGATAGATGTAGATGTCTATGGGCCGCAGCAACCACCTACCATCAGGTGGACTGTGTGCTCGTTTGTCCTATAAAAATTTTCTTTTATCAAATTCCTCAAGTAAAACCATTGAAAATGGTCGTTTTTTGTGTTTCGCTTGCGTCGTCTTGAAGTTTGTTGCTGATATTCATGAAAACCTGTCAGATCTTTGGCTTTTGCTACAATATCTGAAAATGTGGATCACATTGTTTGGACATATCCATAAAATGATTCATAAAGGCTGTATTTTTTTTTTATAGGAGAGGGGGCAAACGAGCATGCGGCTCACCTGATGGTAAGTGACTACCGCCGCCCATGAACAACTGCAACACCAGGGGAATCGCAGATGCGTTGCCGGCCTTTTAAAAAGGAGTACGCTCTTTTCTTGAAGGTCCCTAAGTCGTATCGGTCCGGAAAAATCGCTGATGGTAATCGATTCCACAAGGAGGTCGTGCGAGGAAGAAAACATCTTCTAAATCGCACAGTGGTGGACCGCCAATCATCCAGATGGTGTGGATGGTATCGGGAGTTCTGCCGCGATGTGCGTTCGTGAAATTTGGCGGCTGGGATTAATCCGAACAATTCCTCAGAGCACTCCCCATGGTAGATGCGAAAGAAAATGCAAAGGGATGCAACATCTCTTCGCAGTGCCAATGAATCGATCCGATCGGAAAGGGCTCGGTCGTCGACAATTCGAGCCGCTCTGCGTTGGATGCGGTCAAGTGGAAGGAGCTGGCACTGGGGAGCCCCTGCCCAGAGATGGGAACAGTATTCCATGTGAGGCCGAACTTGCGCCTTGTAAAGTAGCAGGCGGTGTGCCGGCATGAAATACTGTCCCGCTCTGCTGAGCACGCCAAGCTTTTTAGAGGCCAATTTGGCCTTCCCTTCCAAGTGACCACGAAACTGCACGTCACTCGATATGTCGACTCCGAGGATACCGATACTGGCTGAGGCAAGAAGGGGAGTGCCTTGAAACTGAGGAGATACGACAAAGGGGTTCTTTTTAGCGGTAAACGCGCAAACTTGTGTCTTCTGAGGATTAAATTGGACTAAATTTAGTCGCCCCCAATCCGAGACTTTGTTCAGCAAAGACTCGACTTCAGACACAAGTTTGTTCCGGTACTCAGCGACGTTTTCCCGAGAAATATTGGCACGGCCGGTGTATAGAGCATCACCAGTGCTGTCATCCGCATAGCAATGAATGTTACCAGTTAGCAACATATCATTGATATGCAGTAGAAACAGCGTTGGTGATAGCACACAGCCTTGTGGAACACCAGCGTTAATAGGCTTGTAGTCAGAGCATGCACCGTCTACAACGACCTTGATGCTCCGATCTACAAGGAAGCTGGTGATCCAATTGCACAATTTCTCGGGAAGCCCATAGGAAGGGAGCTTCGAAAGAAGCGCTTTGTGCCAAACCCGATCGAAGGCCTTCGCAATGTCCAGACTAACGGCCAACGCCTCCCCCTTGGACTCTACTGCCTCCGCCCATCTATGGGTCAGGTAGACCAGAAGATCACCAGCTGATCGACCCCGACGAAAACCGTATTGGCGGTCACTAATCAGCTGGTGATCCTCAAGGTACCGGATGAGCTGGCAGTTAATAATGGATTCCATTATTTTGGAGAACAAGGAGGTGATCGCGATAGGCCTATAGTTGGATGGGTCTGAGCGGTCGCCTTTTTTAGGGATCGGGTGGACAAAAGCTGTCTTCCATGAATTCGGGACTACGCCTTGGGAGTAGGAGTACCGGAAAAGACGCGTTAGGACCGGTGCCAATTCCGGAGCACACGTCCTCAGCACAATTGGGGGGATTCCGTCAGGCCCACTCGACTTCTGGATGTCCAGGGAGAGCAGTGCTTTGCGAACCGAGCGCTGTGAGAACAGCACATCCGGCATGGAGCACTCACACCGCGGGATGGTCGGCGGTGTTTTCCCCCCGTCATCAAGAGTCGAGTTGGACGCAAAAAGGGAGCCTAAAAGGTCGGCTTTGTCTTTTGCGTCATGGGCCAGTGAGTCATCCTCCCTGTGCAGAGATGGTAGTGATGGCTTACAGAAATTCCCTTGGACAGCCTTGGCGAGAGACCAGAATGCACGGGTTCCCGAAGGAAGGCGAACTAGTTTCTCGCCAATTCTGCCTATGTGCTCTGACTTTGCCTTGGCAATAACTCTTTTGAAGGACCTGGAGGCGAAGTTATACTTCTTTTTAAGTGTGCTGGTATTTACATCCCGAGTCGCCGAAGCCGCAGCCCAGGCTTGATAACACTCCTGCTTACTGCGTAATGCAGTCTTACAGGAGCGACCAAACCAAGGCTGAGATCTGCCTCCGATGGGTACCACAGATGATGGAATAAATAGTTCCATTCCCTGTAGCACCACATCAGTGACAGAGTCAGCAACAGCGCTGGGATCATCCGGCGAGAAGCAAACCCGCCCCCATGGGTAGGATGCAAAGAAGGACCGCATTCCGTCCCAATCCGCCGACCTGTAATGCCAAACACGGCGGCAACCTGCAGAACGCAACCGCGAAGGGAGCGTGAGTGGCACCACACTCCGGATCAGACAATGGTCCGAAGAGCCGAGAGGGGCATCGACGGAAACCAGATATCCGTCCGGATGAGAGGTCAGCAGAAGGTCCAACAGGGAAGGTGTATGATCCTCCACATCTGGAATCCGCGTAGGCGAAGTAACCAGTTGTGTCAGACCATATGCCAAGGCAAAGTCATAAACAGATCTCCCCGCATGATCGGTTAGACGTGAACCGAGCCATTCGGCATGGTGGGCGTTAAAATCGCCAAGGATCACGATCTCTGCGGATGGGACCTGTTGTAGCAAGAAATCTGTAGCCATTTGGACGTGGTCGATGAGTCGGTCTGTTTCGGCATTACCGCTATGGGACCTATAGAGGCACCCGTAGACGCGCGGATGGTCGTCGCTGTCTACGCGTAGCCAAAGGATGGACAGGTCCGAACCTTCAAGACTGCCGAGGCGTCGAGAACAGATGTCCTCTCTGACATACACGCAAACTCCAGCCCGAGGCACAAAGGAATGCTCCAATTTGTACCCCGGGTAGGAGAGATACGAAATATCAGCCGGAGAGGAAACCTGCGTCTCGGTCAGAAAGAGCAAGGCTGGCTTCGCCGTCTCGAGATGGTAGTGGACGGCGTTTAGGTTAGAGTGAAGTCCCCTGATGTTGCAGAAATTCACGGATAGCGTGGCAGGGGTCGCCTTGGTGTTCTTGCTCAGTTTGCCCCTAGCAGTAATGCTTTTGAGCGGAATTTTGCCCCCCCCAGAATACGCGGGGCAGCCTGAGCACCCACGCTCAGGATCGGAATAACATGGTCGTGGATGCTCAGCGAGGGATTCTCCAGGGGTGCTGGTACCCTCCTGGGGTAGTTCTTCGTGTAATTCCGCTACCATGTTGATGGGGGGGGGGGGGGGAATTGTATCCCATATTAAGGTCTATATTAGATGATTGCAGCGACACATTAGTCGCTTTCACGCGTTCTAGTATTCCATTCCACGTAATTGTCACTATTTTCGTCTCATGCATTTAATGCATTGTACGAGTATGCATAAAGTTAAAGTTGCAACCTATATACGTCCTGTGTCTCACACAGGCCTCCTCTCATTTCTGAGAGGGTTTTTGGGGCAAGTAAGTGTACACCGCGCTGCCCC